TTATCAAAATTTTGTTCTACGTACGTGAACCTTTAAAAATTAATGGTATATACAATATAAATTAAAATTTCAAATCGAAATTGTTGTTATAAATCTCCTGATCAAAATATTCCTATCTTTTCTAAAGCAATTGATAAAAAAATGTGTTGTTAATAAAGAAAAACTGACGAATAGTAAACTATCTATCTGATGATGAGTTGCCCATATCCTTATTCCTTGTAGCCTACACTATCTATTCTTAGCAGTCCCCTAGGTAATCAACAATCTTACAACAAATTATTGCGAGCCTATCGTCTTTAATGATCTCCTTCAAATGCACGTATCGTTCAAATGATGCTAGCCTCTTCTTCTCTCAATAAACTGAATCTCCCGTTCTGGGCTGAACAGTGCCTCTTGGAATATAAGTAGAAAAATATAACTTACAATATTTTACTGGATCAGCTTCTGCCAGATACACTTACTCCTGGAAAACTCACAAACATTCACTTCTACTGCTTACTACCTCTCGGGAACTACCAGAGAACAATGACTGTTCGCCTTGCACACTTGGAAAACCACCGATTATCATTTCTCCCTCAAAAATCTATCTAAACTCTCATTCTTACATACCTATCCCACTTTTTTCAATCTCCTCCAATCAAAACTCGTCACACTTATCCACATCTATCATTTAGATAACAAACAACAATTTTACCTACAATTATAAATTTCCCAAAAACTATTAACATGCTAATCGGTTTCTACAAATTCTTAAGAACTAACGGAGAAATATATTTTCCAAACATTCTATTCTATTGTCTTATTCTAAAGTCCATTTGGAAAACCCGCTCGCATTCTTCATGATTTCACTAAGCTCACTCACGTCACTCGAATATATTTTACAAAGAAAATATTTTATGCATATCTTTCAATTTTGTTTACTACAGGTAATCCAGGATAATGGGTTTTCATTTCTTCGAAATATCTTTTATAGTTTATTAGTTGAATTATTTGAATTATTATATTTTGTACTTTGAAATATACTAAGAGCAAACCAATATTATTTTCAATTTTACATATCATAACAACTCCCCGCCATTTGATTTGCCGAAAACACTTTGTTTTTTTATAAATGACATAAGTTTTCCAGAATCAAATTATTTTACTATGTTTATTTTTCCCCCAGAAATAGTTGAGGAATTTGTTATCCAATATGTTGAAATTTGGTTTTTAAATTTTTAACAATTGGTACTGGGTGTGTCGTTCTAATGTCCCCGCCAAAGTGTACTTTCGCCTCGCTTTTGCTATGGACGATAACTTCTTTTGTCTCTCCTCCTCTTTGTTGTTTTATTTCTACAATATGTTTTTCAATTTGCTTTAATCTCCTTTCGACTTCTTTCCTGTCTTCTTGTAATGCCATTTCAAATTTTGTTTTTAATTTCTCTAGTTTCTTTTTCTGGCAATTTCGTATCTCCTTCATTGTGTTTTCTTCTTTCTGTTCTTGTTCTCCCATTTTATTTTTAATTTCATTAATCTCTTTCTCTTGTTTTGCATTTTTAGGGTTATTTCTTCTATCTGTTGTATCAGTTCTTTCTTTATCCTCTCAACACACCTTTAATTTCCTGTTCATAGTTTTCCAAACGCTGCTCTATATTCCTGTTATTTAATTCTATTGCTTGTTTTGTTTCCCGTTGGTTTTCTTCCATTGTTTGCTTTGTTTTATCCATTTTTAGCGATGTTTCTTTTTGGTTTGTCTCTATTGTTTTGTTTCTTGTTGATTTCTATCCATTTTTTGTGACTGGAGTTGCTTTATTTGTAATATTTTATCTATTCCTGATGATTCTTTTCTCTCCTCAACTATTGTAACATTTCCTTCATTATCCGATCCTTCTTCCAAAATTGTTTCATCTTCTCTGTTATCCTCCTTCCTTTCCTTGCTTTTTGCTTTGTCTCCTTGTGACAAACATGTTGTTTCTTTTCGTTACTGTTTTTGTCCCCGCCAAATGTAAAATTTTACAACACTCTATATGTTGGAGAACACGACAAATATTTCTTCCCAATTTTAATAAATTTTCACGACAAATATCAAATATGCAAAACAGTAAAATTCAAATAATTCAAAATAAATATCAAATATGCAAAACAGTAAAATTCAAATAATTCAAAATAAATATCAAATGTACGATTGGTAAAAATAATAAAAATCAAATAATTCAATAGCAGTAAATATCAACTAACTACGATCACTCAATAAATCAAATTTTTATCCTCTGGAAAAATTGTCAAAATACAATTTTAAATTCAAATTCCCTCAATGTTATTTTTTTAATCTCTGGATCACCTGTACTTATTCCGGATCTCTTTCCCTACCATGAAATGTAAAGCTGCGATATTTTCAAGCCCCACGTTTTGGAAGCCAGTTAATGTGATATTAAAAGTCTGAGGTGCGCCAAGCAATTAATTAGCTAATTAATTAATCAATTAAACTTATTTAAATGATGCAGTTATGCAGCTATCACACTATTTAATTCTCTTCCAATCAAAACTCGTCACACTTATACCCATCGACCATTTAGATAACAAACAACAATTTTACCTACAATCATAAATTTCCTAAAAACTATTAACATGCTAATCGGTTTCTACATATTGCTAAATATTCTATTCTATTGTCTTAATCACTGTACAAGTCCATTTGGAAAATTCTCGCATTGTTTATGATTTCATTAAGTTCACTCAAGTCACTCGAATATATTTTACAAAGAAAATAATTTATGCATATCTTTTTGTTTACTACAGGTAATCCAGGATAATGGACTTTCATTTCTTCGAAATATTAAGAGCAAACCAATATTATTTTCAATTTTACATATCATAACAATATATATATATATATATATATATATATATATATATATATATATATATATATATATACATACAACACAGTTTATTAGGGTTGCAGTCAGAATATTGGCCGGGATGTTAAAAACGTATATATGTATAAACGTAAATGTATATATATATATATATATATATATATATATATATATATATATATATATATATATATATATATAGATATATGTATGTATATTCAGAAAAAAATATTAAAATATTACAGGCCAGTTGATTAGATTATACAAAATATCGTAAATATTACTCATTTTTCATGTTTATTGGCCTTTCTGAAATTATCTTGAGTATTTAACTATAAAAATTTTTCTGTGGCAAAAAGATTCCTTGTCTAATGCCATCTCTCTCTCTCTCACACACACACACACACAACTATAAAAATTAATCTCGTTAAAAAACAACACATTTTTCTAATTACACCTATTAGAGTTGTTAATGATGTTACTGAGAGAAGTGTAATATTGAATGTTTACAAAGTGAATAAAACGCGTAAATTAGAATTATTATTTTAATTTAGGAATTAAGACTTCGTCAATAGCCCATTCATCTTCGTTAATAAAATCTATAATCCTCTAGTTGAACCAATAATTAGTTATTTTTCATTTCTCCAACATTTTTAAACCAAAACAAAGTAAATATTGTAAGTATTTTTGCTTTCCAAGTGACTATCCGGCAACTATTGTTAAATAGTACGAGCGGTACCAAAAATGTGTGGCTATTACTATGCGTACGGCGGATACATACTATAAGAATTCCCCTATATTGCAATATTACCGTTGTTGTTGGCAGTATTGCCAGCTACTGTGTTAAAGCCACATATTGCAGTAAAAATGTTGCTCGTTTAGAGGCACCTAAATATTGCTACTAGTCGACAAATTTATAGTAACCCAATATTCAATAAAACTTGATAATGGCAATACTAGCCTTTAGTCGATACATTTTTAACTGGATTGACTACACTTTTATTAAAGTAATACTTTAAAAATTATTTTTATATAACGGCGTTTTGGGATATTTTAGTGAAAATCCAAAGCGCTATCTAGTGCTCCTCCAAGAAACGTGATTGAGAATGTTATATTATGATTCGTTTTTATTTAATTGATTACTATGATAATGAACTACTTTCCAAAAATAACGCACCACCTCAAATGGACGATGATTTTGAAAATATATTTCTTCTGAACACTTAATTGGTTTTCGATGATTTTTTTTCACATATATTTGACCTATATACGGGATGTAAAAATAAAGTTGTGTTTTTTCATCTAATTTTACAACACCCTGTGGAATGTATTAGAATCGAACACTATATCTTATTAATATTTAAAAATAGCACCTAGAAATCTTTTTTCAACATTTTTGTAACAAAATTAACTCGATATTTCTATTATCAAAAAAAAAGGAAAGTACGTTCAACGCATTACGTGATTTTCTACTCTTCTACTATACTAATTTTTAAATAAAATACGCTCATCATGACTTATATGCATATTTTTTATATGAAATTAATTGATGACACTGATTTTACAAGTGATAATATGTATATTATTACATATCTATCGACTTTTGATACCTCGTCTTTCTAACAGCTGACAACCCTAATTTGCGACCATTTTGTATTTTTTGGTAAATTTATATCATTATATTAAAAAGAAATTAGGTTTACTTTGATATAAAAAAAAACCTATGCATATACGTCATGAGCGGCGTATTTTATTTAAAAAATAAATGAGCGAAATAAAATTCTTGTTCAAAAATTAATTACTATTAATGAATTAAAAATATTTGTCACCACTTTTTGACTGGTAACCTATTATCAATGTATTCTCCCTATTTTAAATGCATGTAAAAATGTGAGTTGGACAACTAATTTATAAATGTAGGAATGCTGCAGTGCGATCATTTTGACATCAAATTGTGAAGTTAAAATATTTACACATATTGATATAACACACAGTATATAATGTGATAGAGAAGATGGAGTTAATGCGAAGTATTCTAGGAATTATACCGACTTAAGTCTATATTAAGTTTTTTAATTGCGTTTGATTCTCTTTCCATATGATTTTTTTACAATTAAAATTCTATAAATTCTTTATTTCTAGGTGTTGGACTTGGTGATTTGCAGTGTTCTGTACTGTCTACGGTAGAAACTCCACAAGATGCAGTATTAAATATTTCAACTTCAGCTCAGATATCCTATGTGGTGGACGGCTACACACCCAATGATGGCCCTCCGGAAGTTCTTCCTTTGAATCATTGGCCCTATTTCAACGATCAGTACGTCGCTGTAGCGGCTTCCTTAAATGGAGGAAACAGCTTAGCTACTTTTGTAAGGATGCTACAACAGTGGGTAATGGATTTGGGTTTTAGTGTTCCTCAGTGTAAGTATCGCTTATTATGTTGCAACTATAAGACTATTTGTATGTGACACTTAAAAATAACTCTTGGTAAACTGCACTACTAACTGATATTCTTCTTTATACTTATACTATGAAATTGTTATTTTACTACTTTAATTTTATTTTCTACTTTCTACCTGTGGTGCTGATTATTTGATGAAGAACTCTTTGGTTTTCTCTATGCGATGTTTAGTTTCATTTTTTCTTTATATGTATTATGTTTCTTTGATACGAAACTTCAGGCATTTACTCTACAAATGTATGAATTTTAACATTTCTTTTATTACTGTATTTTGCTTTTTTAGTGTTCGAAAAATTCGTGGAACTTTAAATAACATTCAACCACTGCTTTTTTCTATTATCCTATTGATATGGCAATTAGAATTATGTAATTTATATTAAATCATGAAAGAAAGTAATTCTATTTGGTGATATTATTTATATTTTTAGCTAAACTGTGGGAAAAATTACTAGCTATCGGCATAGAAGACACGGCTATTTCAGACCTTACAATTAAACCCACTTGTCTTGGAGAACGATATGACCCAGATCTAGCTGCATCAGTCACAAATATACACGTTGGTAACTTAGGGTTAGCTCAAGTTTTCAGGGCACTTTGCAGGGGACTTATGGAAAATTTGCATAGGTTCGTATAACATAAAATATTATAATTTTTTTTCAAACGAACAGATTGTTTTAGTATCGTAATTTAGATGATTATTGGGTCCTGATTTAAATTGATTCACTTATCTATTGAATCAATTTATTTATCTGGTATGATTTATAATAATAATGAAACTGTGAATCCAAGCTTATAACTCCATCGGATGATGTTAGGAATATTTATATTCCACTAACACATTAACAATTTACTGATCCTCCCGCTATCATTGTGAACTCCTTTCATATTGCAGTTATTTGGCATCACCAAGAAATTTAAGTTATAAGTCGTATGCTCGTATAGCGTATTTTTTATGCTTGGCACCGTTGTCGGTTTTTCAACATTTCGATAAATGCACAGCTAAAATGTTACGTCGAATAAATAAGAGACATAATTAATAAACATCATACAGACATTTAAACTTTACATATTTAGGACACCATTCTCAAAGAATATAGATATAAATTGCTTCAATGAATTTTACAAGACAAAAGCGGACCAGGGCGAAGAAGAATATCACAGCTGGTCAATCATAAAGTATGGTATAACAAAAGTTTAGCAGAACTATTTCTTTTTGCTGCAAACTAAAGTTTAAACAAAGATCATCATCGCTATAATGATCGTCAACCTCCGGCACCCTGAGAAGAAGAAAACGCCTAGATGTCTCAAAAATAGACAAATATTTCCTCTGTTTCACCTAGATCTTGTCTGAGTTAGCTTTGTTGTCTGTTAAATAATATTTATTTCTAGTTCGGTCTCTTTCTCTGCTGTTTTTAATTGTGAATATATTTCTGCCGCCTTTTCTGTTCTGCGAGACTTAATGCTAATGTCATCGGCGGCAATCTGTATTGACTTATTTGTTAGCCTACCTCTTCCTATATTAAGCTGTATTATTACATATTCGAGATATTAAATAGTGTCGGTGCCCGCCCGTTTCCTTGTTTTAATTCTTTGACTATTGAAAAGTTCTCAGTGAGCTGATTTTGTACTTGTATTGTATTTTTGTGGCATGTTAAAGCTATGCTTATTTGATATAACGTCGATTAATTGAGTCGTGGCCTGTTTGAAGGACGTCAATGTCATATTCTCACGATTTGTTTAGAATTTGTTTCTCTGTGAATAGCTGATCAGTTGTAGATCTTCCTTGTCGAAAACCGGTTTGATATTCCCCGACAATATTTTCAATTAGTTTTTGGAGTTTGTTTAATATGTAAGTAAAAGCTTCGTACGCTGTGTGCAAGAGGGATATGCCGTGGTAATTTTCGGTTTATCCGAAAAAATTAAGTATAAAAATTTCAGTTTATCTCCTTTTTTTATAGATTTCACATATAATCCCGGTTTTCCAGTCGCTAGGGATCTTTTCATCATTCTAAAACTTGTTTATAAGCATTTGAATTTGTCCTACTAGGTGTTTGCCACCTAATTTATATAGTTTAGAGGCGACGTTGTCAATACCTGGAGCCTTATTCTTCTGTGCTCGTACTGCTTGTTTTACCTCTTCCATCGTCGGAGGTTTTATGTTTTCGGTGTGTCGCTTAATTTAACATCATTTTAAAATTATTTTCAAGAACGAAAGATGGAAGTTTGCAGTTGATTTATTGCCTCAATTAGCTTACATTAGCCTACTACGACTTTATTGATACTGATTGGTTCTGTCAACGTCTGTGTCTCTCCGCATTATTTCTGGTTTAGCATCTTGATCAAAATAGGATAATTACAAACTATATCGCCTCGTTTGCAAAAAAAGCGCTTGTAGAGTCAAGGCAGCAGTAAGTAACAGCAAATGTCACAGCAGCAGTTCATATAAAAATAATTATGCCCTTAAGGCAGAAGTCTATGTAAACATTTGTATTGCAATGTTTTCTGTTTTTTAAGGGTGTGTCGGTCTGTTATAAATAAAACACTTTATTATTGCTTAAACGTTTCGGCTGTTTGCCATTTTCAATAAGCACTAATTATATAAACATTACATAATAAACTTTATGGAGTTTAGATCTTTTTTATGTGGATCATCTCCAATATGCATCTTTTGTTGTTTTGATCTTTTTCCAAAATCTATACATTTTGGAAAAATGTACAAGACATTTAAAAGAATGGCTATTTTCCAGAGAATGCTTGGCTAAGGCTGTTGTGTTTGATTTGTTAGTTTGTAAAATATGTTTGTGTGCAACGACCCTTCTATGCAGATATTTGGGTGTTTGCCTAATATATGTTGAATTGCAGTCTTTACAATTTATTGTATAAATAACATCCGATTGATCGACAAGCATCTTTTGTAAATCAGTTAGTTGATATCAGTCGGGTATTGTTGTTATACTCAAAACTTAAATCAAGAAAAGTTATTTTGTTGTTTTCTTCTAGTTCAAAAGACTTAGACGTGAAGCAATAATTAAGTGTTTTCTTACAGTGTGTCAATTTTAAAACTTAAAATGGGCTATATCTCACAAACAAAAGCTATTATTGAAAAATGCTTGAAACCGTTTCTAGGATAGTAAGGGGGAACTAAAATGGCATGAAAAAGAACTCACCCCCATCAACCCCCTAGGCCCCACCCACCACAACCATAAAAGTTTAAATTGCACACCCATACTTGTTATCCATAATTGAAAAGACTATAAAAAATGCTATTCAATGCTATAACTAATACTTATACAGGGTGAAGCAATAATTGTGAACCTTTGGCTTAATTGGATAATTTAATGAGGTTTTTGTTGAACTACAAATTTGTTTAAAATGCCAATTAAGTAAATGCTCAAAGTGGGTTCCTTTGTTTTGTAAACAATAATACAGACTATTTTCAAACTTTGATCACATTGCTCATGTAGTGATCCTTTCCCAAGATAACATCCTTCATTTCTAACTTGGCTGCACCATACTGAAGACGACCAATAGTCAGAAATACGCATAAACGGTTGCCTTCCATCGATATACCTTTTTTGGTTTTCTGTTTACCGGGACATGTCATTACATTTTACTTTTATTATTCACTCGCGTTATACTCAAATGGTGGTAATTTTCGTGGATAAACTGCTGATGTTGGAATAAAGTTAATCCTAACATCGTCTTGTAGCTCTTAGCAAGCTCTGATTTGTACTTTATTTACATTGACATCGTAAGAAGTCTTTTGATTTAATTTTTCTTCGTATAGGGGTCGCTACAAGCGTACACTTTGAAATATTAAAAAGAAATTACTACACCAATTGCGCGAGTTTAGCCGTTATAATATTTTTCTAATAGTTAATAATTCATAATATTAGTAACAACGTATATATTAGAGTGAGATGTTAATTCGTTGCAATAATATTTGTTATTTGTAACTCGTTCTATCTTTAGTTGCATTTGTTCTTCTTAATGTAACAATCTGCTAATCACGCATAATAACATATTGTACTTAAATAGCTGGATCCTGTTTAGGTCTATTTTTATGTTTATTTTTAGTATGATACCAAGAGAAGTGCTACAAAGTGCAAAGATAAATCGTATAGTTGGAAACGGTTCAGGTCTCTCCAGAAATATGGTGTTACAAAAGGAAGTGGAGAAACTGTATCAACTGCCATTGGTGTTTACAAAAGGTGGTGATGCTGCAAAAGGAGCCGCCCTAGCAGTATATCTATATTCCGATAAATAATATGGTCAATTCACACAGTTAATTTTTAATTTAATACTCGAGCAATAGTAGTAGATTCTGGTATTTAGGTTTTTAACTAATTTCCCCTATGGTTTTAATTAATTTTTTGACAATTTTTAGTAGGTTAGAATTTTTTATTTCACAAACATTGCCAAAGAATATTTTGCTGTAAATTCTTGATTCCTATTATTGTTGTTTTTAATTTTTATATATTTTATAACAGTTGTTTAATTTATGTTAATATTGGTTTGACTACATTTAATGTATATTTTGATTTGTTTAAAAAGAAGGTTTTTGGAAATTCTTAGCAGGTATTCAATATTACTATAATCATCAAATATATAATAAAGTAATTTTTTCGCGAAACGTCCTAAAAAAGGCTTTCTAACACCAATTGCATTATTATTTTTTTGCATCTAAGCTATACATAAGTTTACTGCCTTTAGCTCTTTACAGATTGTGCACTATTATCATATTTGCTTCTTGAAATTACCGCAGGTCTTTTTGCTAAATTTTTCTATTGAAATGCATGTACATGTGGTACGGCCTAAGGATTGGACTGGTATGGGGGTAGAGGGTTTATCCATATCTTAAGTCTCTACCGTTTCAATATACCTATAGAGACTTATATACGCACTAAGTAAGAATCGAATACAATTATCTAAAAATACACGAACCATTTACTTCAACATTGCATATCTCTCATCCAACTAATGAGAATGACAGTATGGGTCATATTCTAATTTGGATATCTTTGGAAAATAAAAAAAAATCAATAGTCATCCATTTATACTACTAAAAAATCAAATTAAAAAATATCTTCCTTTCTATATATGGAATGTTAAAGTTAGCTATTATATTCAGTCACTTTTGTCTGTTAAATGGTTTCTGACCTGGAAGATTATATAATTGTTTATCATGTGCTTTCAAACTTTGGCCCTGAGATTGACTTATCTTCTCAATGTTTATATGTTATTAACATTATTTTGAATGTTTTAAGGTAATTGGATCGACAACTTTTTTGTTTTACGTAGTTTATATGTGTCTCTTCTGCGTGTACTTAATAACGCTATCAGAAATGGTAACTTGGTGTTAGGTTTATAGAAGTTTTGTTATCTTCACAAAAAATCTATTTTGTCGTTAAAATTTACTTTCTATGTACTTAAAATCTTTTAACGGTCGACAGCGGTCAATAATTTGCTTTTATGTGTAACGATACAGCCACGGTTTTCAAAAATGGTTGATAATTGCGATATTTATGTAGATTGTTATATTATTTGATATTTCTTTCCAAATATTGTTCATCCTGTAAATAATTCGGATCACATGATTGGTTTTTCTATCCGCGTGTTGTTAATTTATCTACCAACGTGTTATCGTTTATTCTGCTATATTTTTGAAACCAGATGATACTAACTAGTTCATCTTTATTTAGCAATATTCTCCTTTATCGTTAAGTTGAAATTAAATGATGAAATTAATTTATAAGTATTATTTAAAAGAATATATAAATTCTACCTTCTGGTTATCTTCCAACAGAATTCATACATTAATTAATAATTCTACTTTTAAACATTTATGCAAGGGTCAGCCTTCTTTCTTTTTTCTTTCCCTTTTTTCTTTTTCTCGTAATCTCATTTCTTAATTGGCGTATATATCAATATTTGACTATCGAATTAATTCAGGTTTAATCCATTATCAAATTACTCCCCAATTACATTCCAAGTTTGTACAAAACATCTTCTTGTCACTGACAAACACTGTATTTTGCAATTTAATATTTATATGGTTCGTAAATATTATATTACTGTGAAGTCTTTCATTAGTTCTTTGTGATTCTAATTATTTTTATAATTCGAGGGTACTAAACCGACCTGACACTCTTCCTTTACCGTAAATGAAACATATATGGAATATTAGAACGAATGAAACGGTGGATACTAAGTTACATGATCTAACAGTTAGATCATTTTTCTATTAGTTAGATTCTAACTAATAGAACCCAATGCTTAAAAATACATGTTTAAAAACATAAATAATATATTTGCTTTTACTTTTTTTATCCCCAATTTAACGAATTTAAATAATCATGTACATTATTTGTTTTTTGTTAACACCAAAACCTTGATACTATGACCAACAACCTTCTTTCTAGTTCAATTATTTATTTATACATCATTCTTGCCGTAGTTTTAGGAATAAAGAGATTTGTAGACATAAACATAGATAGACTATTTAATCACTGTGATAGAAAGAATATACACGCCTATGGGGTAAATTGTTGAATTTATAGAAAAAGTATTTTATAATTCACATGTTTTAGAAAGCAATTTAGCGTGAAATTTGCACTAAGTTATAAAGGACTGTAGCTACATATACAGTGCGTTAATCAACAAGCCAATACGAACCGACACTCTTATGACCAGAAAATATAGTTAAGAGCGTAGGCGCAAAACTTCGGGCGAATGCTTTTTAAATGCATTCATTTTTTTCGAACCCTGAGAAAACTAACAAATATTTTTGAAAAATTTAAACGCAGAATGAAAGAATACATTATTATCGAGGGTCAAAAGTCCCTGAAAACTTCTCTAATGTTTATTTTAATAAGTTACAGGGGTGAAAAAAAAGAGAAAATTTAGTGTGATTTTTAATTTCAAATATCTTATTCAAAAAAACTTTCTGTTTATTCTAAGGGACTTTCGGCCCTCGGTAATAATGTAATCTTTCATTCTGCGTTTAAATTTTTCAAACATATTTGTTAGTTTTCTCAGGATTCGAAAAAAATGAATGCATTTAAAAACCATGGGCCCGAAATTTTGCGCCTACGCTCTTAAGGAAAAAATCGTTTATAGCCGATACCAACCGAAGTTTTGAATACGCTTTCGATGTTTTGATTTAAAAAAAGTTCAGAAATTTGAGCAAATCAAATAAGCTTCTGCAAAATAGTTCTAAAAGTTCAGACATCTTTTTAAATAACTAATATGATTTCATGAATTAATTGATGTTGAACAGTTCAAATTCAACTTTTTGAACTATTTTGGACAAGCTTAAAGTTCAACAATGTTTAGAATTTTTGGCAAGTAAAAAAACTTATATTTTTTGTCCAAATTAGTGAATATTGTGAACGAATGGATTAATATTAATTTATGAATATACTTAACTCTAATATACTTTCTAACAATATTTAGTCATTTTAACATCTTTAAAATTCTGAAAATATAAACCCAACCAAATATTATATTCTGGGAAGATATATTTTAGCCATTTCCCATAATTAACAGATGGTCAAGTTGATAAACAAAAATAAATTTTAAGACCAACGTTTTCATTGTATGTTTAAACTGTTGTTTGTTTAGGTCTTCAAACTATTGAATAGACCCTAATGTTTTTTAAATTAAATATACCAATAAAAATAAATTCGTTTTAGATAGCAAAATAATTATTCTACAATGGAGACTGCTAAATAAAGCATTAAACATTTTTCTATTTCGATATATAGTTTTTCATAGTTTTCATGAATTCCAATTTTAAATTACTATTTTTATTTATTTTTCTTATTCAGTGACATTTTCTTAGATTCATACCTATATATGAAGCGTATAAATGCAAAACCAGACATTTGACCTATAAGTTGTTTTGAGTAAATCGCAAAAAACCTACTAAAATCGTAATTTGACACCAATGAATATAGACATGTATTGATTTGCACTTGAGAGTTGCACATGTCTGCTTATGCATCATGATTTTTTATTTCTTATAACATTAGTAGCCTCGTGTGTGATACTAACAAAAAGAATCGTAATAAAATAAAACTAAATTTGAAAAATATTGCTTTTAATGAATATATAAAAAAAAACTAAATTGTTAAGGTAATACCTTCAGTATCAGATGAAATAATCATACCTTAGTCTTCTGCACCTTCAGGATTATCTTCCATACCCTCTTAGTGTTTTCCAAGTAATTAAAAGCTTTTGTGAAGAAATGAAGACGTTCATCAGCCGCCCAATTCACCCCATAGTGTTTCGTTAACAAAGTTGATATGCTTTTTATTCCCTAATAGCACATGTACGTCCAGTGGACGTCCATAGTACGTCCCTCACGGACTTTAAAGACGTCCCTCGAACGTCCGCTTTGGTCCTATTTACGTCCTATATTGGTCCGAATGTCGCTGCGCCAAACGTCCTATGGACGTCCATTTTACGTCTCGAGCGGACGTAAAATGGACGTACCGGGACGTTAATTGGATCTTAATCGGACGTCCATAATACGTCCAGAGGACTTACTTGACGGACTTTTGTGATGTTTTCGGACATCTAGTATAAGGTATTAAAAGTGGTGTCATCCTGTGCATATTAAGAATGTATTTTGGGAAATAAAACGTAAATGTTTAAAGAAACTTACATTTATTATTACATTTATTTATATTTATTTATTATTAACAAACGGGACAAATCCATTGTCAAAATTATGCAAAAATACAACATTATAGAAATATAAAATAATTTTGTGTAATAAAACATAAATGTTTAAAGGAACTAACATTTATTATTACATATATTTATTTATAAATAACAAATGGAACAAATTCACTGTCAAAATTATACAAAAATGCAGCATTATAGAAATATACACAAAATTACAGATAAAATAAAATATACATGAATAAAATAAATAAGTACACATTTATAGTAAGTTTCATTATAAATCTAATCAACATAAAAATGGTTTTTATTGCAATTATAACATAATCAGTGTTAATTAGTAGAAGTTAAACGACTAGACAGTAAGTAAACCAGTATGAAGTTGATTCTTCAAATTTACTGTCAAAAAATCACTCAGTAAAGCCTCGACAATTTTAGGAATAGCAGAAAGAATTATAATGGAACGATAATTAGGAATCAATGAGTTAAGGATAAAATCAATAAATAAATTGTTATGAAAAGTGACCCTCAGTCAGAGATTTATAAAAAATAAGCCATAGATGCCTACATAAAAAGAAT